TTCGAAGAGTCGCACGCGACAACGCGTGGAAAAGTTTAGAGCGCAACGCAACAGTTTCTCTGCCTTTCCTGCATAGTTTACAGTCTTCTCACTGATTTTCCAACTTCTTATTGAATATGAACTATAAATATGGACAAGAGCAAAAAAAATAAGCAGTAGCAAAATTTTGAGAGACATTCGCGGCGTTCGAAGCGAAGGTGCTCACATGGGTGCGCCAGAAAGTAGGGTATAGCGTAGTTCGCTGCGGATGGCTTGGGCGTGTCAGGCGGGATGAGTTTGGCGCGGTGCCAAACCCGTTCTCCACCAGTTGTTAAAGCGAGCAAATGATATGACTGTATCATATCGTTCGTATTACTCGTTTTCTACCACTTTTTGTCGCATGCGCGCTTCAACAAGAAGGCAGAGAACGGCTTTGACGGGGTGACACACTCATACTGCCTGACACGCCCAACCGTCCGCAGCGAACTAGAGTGTATATCCGTTCATTTGTTTTTGTAGGTACAGCAAATAACTGCCTCTCCCAGAAATGGAAGGGCTGGTTTTCTTAGATACGTTTCCCGAGGAATATCTCTATTTGAGACAATTAGGACTAGTGTTCTGCTAGCAATACGCATGACTGTAGTTGTTTTAAAAGGATTACGAGTTGCCTAGCTGCCGTCGCGTTTAAATGAAATATGCAGCCGCGCCCTCCCCATCTCGGGGATATAGAGTGTATCTTGAAGAGAAAACAAGCAAATGACTTTCAGCAGTGAAGGACTCATAGCAGAAATATTAAAAACGAGTAAAAAAATTCAAGAGCACTGAAACTCGCACCTCTAGTGGCATTATTGCCATCTTGCTGGTGTGATAAGACACAACGGTTCTGAACTTGTTGAAAATGATGGTACCCTAAAAGCATGACCAGTTTTAAATCGAGCTTCAAAGGTAAATGTAAATAAACCTGTAGAGATAAAAAAATCATTAAAAAAACATTGGAAGACTGAAAAATCCGGCGAAAATTGCTTCGAAATCGCCCTAGCCAAAGAGAAAACTCTGGAGGGACTAACATAGCTGGGGTAGGCAAGCAGTGGCGGGACTAATGCTGCTTGCACCTTTCCACGAGACTGTGATTTTTTTTCTCAGGATCAGCGTTAGAAGACGCCACCAACCCTTCATCACCATCATCATCATCATCATCATCATTTATTGGTCAATCACAATGTAACAATCATAGGAAGGCAACTCAGGATGATACCGTTGATTGACTTTGATTTTGCACTGAGGTAAACTGAGTGGAACCGACTGGAACACACTGCAACACATTTCTAACGACCACCAGGGTGCTCATTCTTCCCCCCCCCCCCTTCCTCGCCAAACTGCCCCAAAGTAGAATATTGCGAAAAACCATCAATCCGAAGAAAATCAAAGAAAGTCGCTGTATTGAAGGAATAAAAGAATAAACAACAAAAATCAGGTCAATTATAATCCCGATCCCGATTTCTTTCGAGACCTTACATTAGGAAATTACCTCTTCAAAGTCGAAGCCAGGAGTCAAGGATTGCTTTTGCCGCGATAGAAGCATCACCAAATGATGGCGGAGCACGACCAATGTCATTTCCAGTAAGAAGGAATTTCTTGCTGTGAATGCGTTGAAGAGCATTTCTAGCCTTGTCACCAATACATACGATTCGAATATCCTTGTCCTTGTCGGCGTCGGCCAGCATCAATTTGGCCTCCTGGAATGAGGAATTAATCCGCTGTGAAAAACAATAAGTGGGAATATTCGAACACCAGGAGCAAATAATCTTGAAGGGGAAAGATTCAAAAGATTCCTTGTGCAAAATTTGGACTACCGTAATGCGAATGAGATTATCATGCCGTAAATGATCACTCTCGCCAACTCTAGAACTCCTTCCCACACTAGGTCGCTAGCCTTTTATAGTAGTTTTTCTACCCTACCTGTCCATATTTTCGGCGAAGTTTGTCTGGGGAGGGGACCTAAATGGTACCTAGAGGAGCTAGGCAAAGGCACCTAGTGGAGACCTGTGAACTACTGTGACTAAAGTGGCTCACTTCAACCTTTCGCAGCTCCACAAGAGTTTACGGGTCTCGCGAAAATGAGATCCCAGTTGACGTGAACTATCAAAAGGAACTAATGAGGATGCAAACTGCCCCTCCCAAGTCGAATGGCGATAGAGTGCAAAATGCCCCTCCCAAGCCGGACGGCGCCAAATTTTATATATTTCCAAAATTGATTACTAAGCACGTTTCATGCAGCTTTTATATAAGTCAAATTGTCTAAAAAAAGTGTGATAAAATAGGGCATGATTCTCTTCTAGACAGGGGAAGGGATTGCGTGAGGTCGGATGTGCCTATTCGAAATGGTAATGCTATGCCGGGCTGGAGGTCTTCGCGACTCCGGGGAATGCACCGACCGTGTCATATCTTGCTGCGGCCTGCCCAGAAAGAAGTTATGCGAGGTTTTTTGGAGAGGATACATGACGAATAGGCGGCGTCCAAGGCTGATAGATGGTGGGAAGCATGCCGAGGGGATACGTCGCGTTAGGGCTACGGGAATGCGCAGTGCCGGTCGACTCGACTTGCGCTTCCTGATCGCGTGTGCTCTTTTGCATTTCTTCGAAGTAGGGTCCCTGCTGCCACGTCACAAGCTATTTTGGTATAATACCACTTTGTCCCCCCATGATTAATGTCGGCGCCGCTACGCCGTGATGTAATGATTCGTGCCATTGCTGATGGGCGAGCATCGGCGACTCCATTCCCTCCATGCACGGCCTCACTTTTCTGGATGTTGTCTTCTTCTTTCCTTGATTTGAAAAACATACACAACAAAAGTGCATTCCAAAGGGGATTTTGCCTTCGAATGACTTTATTCTCCAAACGACATGACTGAAAAACGATTCCGAACGCATGAATTTCCAGTGCCGCGAAGAGAGTATAGGTGGGGAAATGCTTCCATATTGAAGTGGCGTTGATGTGTACAATACATGCGCGGAGAGTCGCGACGGTACACGAGCTTCATTCACCTCCACATAATGTCTATGTGCATCAATTCACCACCACTCACATAAGGTTGATTATGTCTATCTCAAAGTGTTTTCGTATCTGCTGGAAGTTTTCGGCTCGTATGACAATCTTTTCAGCCGGAGGTGATCTCCATGGAATCGTTCGCAACGGCTCCATCAGTTCAGAATCATTACGCCACGACATTATCAGGGACAAGTGTTATACAAAATAGTTTTGAAGTGCACAGGGACCACTTTCGAAAAAATGCAAAAGAGCACACGCATCAAGGATCCAAACCCTCGACCACGCATCCGTGAGCCCTACGACGTATCCACTCGGCCATGCTGCCACGATCTCCTCAGCCTCCTCCCCCAAAAAGCTCCGTAACTTCTTTCTGGGAGGTCCGCAGCAGATATGGAAGACGGTTTCGTAATTCCCGTCCGAAGACCTTTCAGCCGGTATACATTTCATTTCAAATGGCCACTTCGACCTACCATCCTTCCCTTGTAAGAGCACAGCTACTGTAGGGAATATCACTAAGGAAACAAAAACAGTGTAGTTCTTGAAAAAAGCTCCTAACCTTAGCGATATTATTGTGAACTCCACCGCAAAGTCCTCTATCGGATGTAACCAGTACTAGCAGTTGCCGTTGTTTCTCCTCTTTCTTCTCGCCTTCTTCTTGACTGTCAACGTTATCGAAAAAGGTCTTCGCACCAACACCGTATGCGCGGGCACCCTACAAAAAAAACCTAATAAATCCATCGAAACTTTTCCAACGGGTGGAAAAAAATCCAGGTTCTGAGAACCAAAAATAACAAAAACTCTCAAAAATCTAAGACCGCTAATCACCTTCAGGTCACGTTCTGCTTTGGCATACTTGGAGGCGGCTACCATCTTCATTGACTTGGTAATTTTCTGGATATTTTTAATGGACTTTAGTCGAAGGGAGATATCCTAAATGGACTTTTTGCAGCTAAGGAACACACATATCTAGAGAAAAGAAAATATTAATTTCTCAGGATACCTTCAACGTAGCAAATCCCCTTTGCTGCTCAGCAACAGCCGACGATACGACCAGCTGGAGAGAACCCGAGCCAAGACGAAACATGATGCCGCCCTGGGTAAACTTCACGTAACTAATTCCGAAGGATAGACATTACATGAGAAACGAAATTATACGAAAAATAAGAAAAACTATGTGAATGTGACCAACGCAAAAGCAAGCAAAGCATGAAATCAGTTTCGCCTCTAGTCGGGTAAGGGGGGAGGAGGGGGCGGCTTAGACAAAGTGCTGGACAATTTTGCAAAGACCTGTCAGCTCTTGTAAAGCCATGAAATGTATACGCTTCACTCTGCATAACATATATTTATCGGATATGTTTATTCCAATATTCCGGACTAGAAGTGCACCGCGACATTGAAAACCACAAATCGCAAATAACTGAGGCTGCGCTCACAGTTCACATCAGCGTTTTGAGTTTACGCCAGTGTTTTCAACGACGAGAAAAGTATAGGTATTGATCTAGCGCACGCCAACGTTTTGAGCGACAGCCCACCAAAAGTTCAAAACTACCTGCGAAACGCTGAAAACGATGACGTGCGCTAGATCGATACTACTACTACTCGCTCAAAAGCTCACGCAAAGTATGAATGCAGCCCAACAAATTCTTTTGTCGTAAACATGTGACGAATACAGTGCCTACCTAATTTTGAATACGATGTCGCTTTAGACAACCAAATTGGTTCACTCTAATGAATTCGTCCTTGGAGCATTTTCCCTCCAAGCTTGGGCACGAATCCTCCACCTAAAGTCCCCACACCTATCAACAAATGCCGCCCAATATAAACGAAAAAAACAAGGAATTAATGGTGTGGAAAGGAAGCCTGTATTACTTCATGACTCTACCACAGTTTGCAGGACTTTACAAAATGGCCCGGCACGTTGAGGAATTAGCAATACACCCCTCCGCAAGCCGAGTAGCGGACCAATTTTACTACTAGATATTACTACTTTGGCAGCGATCCATAAAGCAAATAGCTGGTATCATTGAGCGCAATCTGATATCATTAAGAACATTTAAATACACACAATCACTTTCGTGTAACCGAAAGTGGAAAGTATTTTCAATCTAACTCACTACTTATGATCACTGATGTAGCCAATGACTAAAAAATGCCAAAATTCTATACAAACGACACGCAAAAATATTGCTGAAGTCGTTATAAAACCCACATGGACAGAAGGTAAACTATTAAACATTTCTACAAGACTTTAGCCGCTAAAACCAGGCTTATAGCTTATTTTCTAGGGTTCTATCGAGCATCCAATCAGCCTGCCTACATTACGCGGAATTTGGGAGGGTCTTACTCGACGCACCGGTCGAGTTTATCTCCCAAAATAAAGTCCAATGTATAGAAAATAAATAAAAAATTAACGTGAACCAATCAAGAGCCGCCCGTCAGTCTGCCAACTTGGTAGACAGGGATTTCCATGTGGGACCTATCTGCACTGTTTTTTTTTGCTCTTTAGTGTGAATGTTTGTGGAAAACTTGATTGACTACATTGTGATTTTCATTATATAGTGTCTTTTGAGTTAAAAAGGCTGAGCAATTGGTAAGGCTTCCCCTACTAAGTTTATCGAGTTACCAAGGGTTGTCAGAACGGTGAGTTCCCTTGAAGAAGATTGGCAGGTAGCTAGTGGAGTGACTCATTTGTGGGTTTTTATTTAGTAAGTTTTTTAACTTGAATCGAGTTCCTGTTATTAGAAGTAGAAAAACTTGAGAATCGGTATTGGCTCGCTGTAATCGGGCACTCTATGTAAAAAAAAGAACTTCGCACTAAACTTACATGGGCTGAAGAGGAAAATTCCGAAGAAGGATTATTTTATGAGGTTTGGAAGCACTCAACTCCATGACTTCGTTCTCGTTTCACTTAGGGAGCCGTATACATAATAAGTAAGTGCGCATTTTCAATCATTGAATTCCATGCTAGAAACTATTTTGTTGCTGTAGTACGGGAAATGAGCTTGCATTTTGATCGCTACTAAGCCAGTGAAAGCTTTTCAGGACGTTTTCGAGGCTTCTGTCCTTCATTCTTTGAACTTGGGCATTACGATTGAACTGCATGTTTTTTTCGTATTACGCATTCTCGACTTAACTTGAAGACACATTCCGCGATTGCAGTGTGGAAGCTGTGACGTTTCAGTACTAGCTTGTAGATGCTAACCGACCTAATAGTAGAGAAAAAAGTGGACAAAGTTTTGAAGGCACCATTAGGTCCCAGCATCGCCTTCGCAGACGCGAGACACTGTTGGGCAGGCGAAACACCACAGAATAGCACATCGCCCCCCCCCCTCTACCAATTTTCAGATTTTCCCCAACTTCCTGCCACTTTTTCACTTTTTTTCCAAAATCTCCCAGAAAGTTCCCTACTTTTCCCCCAAATACACCAGAAGTCAACCACCACTCCTACAACGCCAAAACGTAAATACGACCCTCCCTCCCAACAATGACCAAGTACGACCCCCCTCCCCTTTACAACGTCCGTGAAGCGAGAAAAATCAACTATCAAAATAAATTTTTCCCAGCCCAAATACGACCCCCTCTCCTGGCGGCCAAATACGACCCCTCCCCCTTTGGGGATTCCCAAACAACGATGTGCCCTGAGAGGACAGGAGCACAAGCGAGACGGCAGACGTACGCTATTCATATCTGTGTGGGACCGCAGGCATAGCTTGTTCCCAATTGAGTGGGGCAAAGTCTACGATGATTTTCCTTGGGCTTATGACGACAGCAAAACTTGTTTGACCGCCAAGTCACTGAAGTGTCATAATTTTCGCCGGCCGGGCTACTGTACAGCGAGGAGTTTTTGCCTTTTGGGTAATCGCGGAACCATTTTACAGCTTTTCTGAATATTTAGTTTTGTTAATGGCGTTTGATTGCTTCTCTCTGCACTTATTACTCGTGCACAACCTTTAAATATTGTTTGGTTGCAAATTTTTCTACGGAGTTGGTAGACGAAAAATCTAGGGATAGAGGCAGTCGATTTGTAAAATTAGTTTTGTACTTGGAAGGGGCTACCCGGGCATTATTTTCGGTGCAAGTTGGGTGCTTAAGAACCATTTGGTCGCGCCCTTTCTCTCTTCTCCTGAAAGTCTTAAGCCAAGGAAACACGATCGGAGTTGGTGAGGGATTGCGCCACAGTGAAGGTATAGTTTCCATTGGGCCTAAGCTTTGATTAGGGGAAGTTACGGAGGCGCTGACATGTGGGCCCCTCCCCTATCTACGTTAGCGTCATCTTTCTGAGGGGGAACTCATACTGTTGTGACTGGGTTCATACTCTTTTTGAGCGTTCGAGCGACTAGGAAAGTTTGGATAACGATCACGTGCGGCAGCATTTTAGCGACTGTCCGCGAACAGTTCAAAATTACCGCGAAACGATCAAGACTGTCGTACGCTCAAGACGCTGGAAAGTATGAACGCAGCCTCTCTGTTATTTATGTCAACATAAACTTTGGAATGTCGTGAACGAAACTCTCATTGTTTAAATTCCACACTTCCTGAGTTGTTATTGGAAAGAAAATTCTTCAGGGTAATGTTCCGAGGCCCAAGTGCCCTTCTAGCGCTTCCACGGTTATGTCGCTGCGTATCATCTGTTCCAGTAGCTGCACCTACAGCAAGTGTTGGAGGGTTTGAGGTCAGTTGCAGTTATCCAAACCTTCCACGAATTCGTTGTTTCACCTAGTCTTTCTTGTTTTAGGCAGAAGATTGAT